TGAGCGTGCTAAGCCTGTTCCTCTTCTAGACCCTTCTCATGTGCTGTTTTCTCTGACTGGAATAGTCTTCTCCGAGTTATTTCCATAGCTACCACCTTCACTTCCTCTGGTCTTTCTCAAATGTTACTTTCTTAATGGGGTCTTCCCTGGCTTATTTAAAATTTCAACACCCAACCACCCACCCTGGCATTCCCGGAACCCCTTCCTTCTTTACTTTTCTCCATGGCACATCTCCATCTAACATTTTACTTATTTATCTTCTGTATTGTATGTCTCCTGCGTTAGACTGCAAGTTCCATGAGAACAGGGATTTTTTTGGTCTGTTTTCTGCAGAATCCCCAGTGCCTAGAGTCGTGCCTCATTCCTAGTGGACACTTAGCACATATGTGTGGAAGGAATGAGTTCCAGTAGGAAGTTGTCTCCTCTCTCTTTGCTACTTTTTCCTAATGTTTTATGGAACTGTTGTCTCAATTTCTATGCATCCTTTGTCCATGGAGCTGGTGGTGTTTGGTGATAAAACCAATGAACAGCCAAGCAAACCTTGAGCTTAATGTTTGGCTCTCTCATTCACAAACTCTGTGACTAAGGACAAGTCATTTAGCCTCTCTGAGTTTTCATTTCTTTGCTTATAAAATGGAGAATGCCTGTCCTGTCTGTCACTCAGGATTGCTATAAAAGTTCAACAGAATAATGTATGAAGGACCGTCAAGAATAAGGTGTGGTTTGCATTTTCCATGGTGCCTGGCCCTGACTCAATGCTGGAGTTCTACATAGATGACTGTCTTGTTTAATTCTCACATCAAATCAATGACACATGAACTCATACTACTGAACTCATTTTGCAGATGAGGAAACTGAGGTGCATCAAGAAGTTAACTGAATTACCCAAGAGCTAGGCAACAACAGAGTCAGGCTTTGAACTCAAGCATTTTTATTCAGTGGTCTGAGATTTTCCCTATTATGTTCTACTGGACAAAATGAATGTTTTATTGACTGAATGGAGTAATGAAAAAGATTTCACCTGAAGTGCAACATTTGCCTCCAGACCATCTTTTTCTTGAATGGTAATTAATGTGGCATTTCCCTGATGTTATTTTTCTCCCTGTTCAACTCCAACAGGCAGAAATCCTTATATTTCAAAAGAAAAAGGTATTGTCAGGCACTCCTCTATCTTTCCCCTTTTCCCCCAAGGAATGAAACTCCTATCGTATGTCCCCTGAGATTTTTGTCATACAGTCTAACCAAGTCCAGATGGTTTTTGCAAGTTCAGACAACCTAGGTAGTAAAGTATTTGTAATTATCTACTGAAACAAATTCTGGACTAAATTACAAGCACACGCTCCCCAAATAATTTATGCCATGCTCTTCTTCCTTGTTTGTGTTATGGCCTTTCTGTGCTAATGAATTTGTAAATGTGGTTTAATTACTGTTTACTGAAAAATAGCTGCACACAGATCAGTCTCAGTGGGGGACTCAGTCAAAATGTTGAGGCAATTTGTTTCCAGTGTAAAAACAGCTAATAAATGAGAAGCAGTTTTTAAACACTGAGAAAGGAACTTAAGTTTGGCTTTGAAAAAGCAATGTTTTATATATGTAGGAAATAGATCATTCTTTTTTTTAAGATTTTATTGGGGGAATTGGGGAGGGGAACAGTGTCAGGGAGTTGGGGGAAGGGAACAGTATTGAAGAATTGGGGAAGGGGAACAGCCAAGTTGTTGTTCTTCAATCTTCGTTGTGGAGGGCGCCAGTCGCCACCTGGCTTCCCATCAGCAGCTCGTGGCCTTGAAGCTCAAGGTGCTGTGTTCAATCTTAGTTGCGGGTGGGTGTAGCCACCATCCCATGCGGGAGTCGAACCAGCAGCCTTGCTGTTAAGAGCACATGCCCTATCCACTGAGCCATCCGGGTGGCAGCTCAGCTCAAGGTGTCAAGTTCAGTCTTAGTTGCAGGTGGGCATAGCCCACCATCGAACAGGCAATCTTGTTGTTACACCAGCTGAGCCATCCTGCCACCTGTTGGCATCTCAGTGACAGATCAGCACGGGCATAGCATCACTGGCCCATGTGGGAATCGAACCAGTGGCCCTGTTGCTCAGAGATCGCGCTCTTAAGCCAACTCTTAACCAACTGTGCCACTCGGCCGGCCCAATAAATCATTCTTTAAGAGAGTGGATTTAAATACCAAAATGGCATTTTTCCCCCCAAGGCCAAGTACACGATGATTTGCACAGAACCTAAATGCAATAAGAAGTGTAGAAACAGTGATTTGATTGAACACCACACCAAAAAGCTATATTCTAGAACTCCCCAAAAGGAAAACTCAAAATTGTTTGCAAATTCCATCAAATGTTTCAGAGCTCTGTAAACCCATGTATTATGCATTACCTCATGTTTCTGAATTCTTACCTCGGGCAAATTGCCAACTTAGCAACTAAATGACAGTATTAAAATTCTAATAAAAACCAGCCCCTCTAACTTTGCTTTTTTTCCTCCAGAAAAAAAGGCAACACGAGACAGGAGTGAAAGTTATTGGAAGGTTCAATTTATAAATTCTGTTTGTGCTCTATTTGGAGTGGTAGCTTAATTCTGTTCTTGCATAATATGATGTTTGCCTGATTCCGCTCAAAGAGGGACCGCTGAAAGGAAGTTCCTTCCTGCAGCTGTTGGTCCTGCTCATAGGAAGGCCGCTCTATCTCACTGGCCCTCGGGGAGCCTGCCTGAGAGCTGGAGTGGAGCCAGTTCTGTCTCTAGTGCAGAACTCCGAAGACAAAATCAGTCAACTTAGCAATTAATAAGGATTGCTTATTGTTTCCTGAACTGTGGATATTATGAAAGAAGTTTGAGCAGCGTGAGATGCAAACGCTGCCCTCTAGGAATTGATTATTAGTGAAGGCAACAAACAGGTATACAGGAAATGCAATGTAAGAGACCCCAAGGGTGCGAGGTGGGGGAAATAAGTGAAGGAAGTCAAAAGATACAAACTTTCAATTATATGATGAATAAGTTCCGGGGATGTAATGTGCAGCTTGGTGACTATAGTTAACAATACTGTGTTGTAGATTTGAAAATTGCTGAGAGAGTGGATAAAAGTTCTCAACACAAAAACAATTTGTAACTATGTGGGGTGATGGATATTAAGTAAATTTATTGTGATCATTTTGTAATACACCCATATATCGAGTCATTCTGTTGTATACCTTAAACTTACACACTGTTATATGTCAATTGTATCTCAGTAAAACTTGGGGGAGGAGGAGAGGGATCCCAGGACCAAGTCTTAACTACTAGTGTGTCAAATAGCATTCTGAAAACTAGGGCCTCATCTTTGTGGTGGGAAGACGCCTTTTCCAAAAAGATAGTCCGTATTTCCATGTTGTAATCATTGGTCTGTCATTCATTAACTCACCAAATGTTATTTGTGGTGTCCCCTTTATAGTATATCCCATGAGACCTGGGAGGGAGACAGATATCATAAACAAATAAGCACACCAAGTGTAAGATCTCAAAGGAAGTGGAAAATTATGATTAAAATAGAGATGTATCATCAAATAATATATAATTTTCCAGGCCTTACTTTCAGGTTTTTTTCCAATATAAGAAAAATGCAAAATATAAGTGCAGAACTTCTTTATGAAAAGGGATTTATCTTGACCATTCTTAAATCATAAAACTTTGGAAATAGAAACTAAGCTCAGATATCACCTCCTCCAAGATGGCTTCCCTGATTGCCCCCATTTGGCTTGGGTTTCTTTTCTGTGTCCTCTCACTATACCACACTCATTCCCAATTTATTGAATTGTGCCCACCCTGCACCACCACCCCTGTATATACACAAGTGGGTGTCCCTTAAAGAGGAGGGGACATGTCTTTTCTTTCATCCACAGTGCCATAAACATGTCTGGTATATGGCCTTCAATAAATGTTGACTGTCTATATGAATGGGAAAACGATAATTACATGTATTTCCCCATCTAACAAAAGTTGCCTTTATTCTCCCCATTATATTAAGTTTTAAAATATAGAACAAAAAGGTGTTAGATATATATTCTTGCTATTTAGATGTAAATGCATTAAAACATATGTTACTAGCATATTTAGATAAGTACATGTTAAAAAAATCTGGAAGGACACACACCAAAATGCTAGCAGTGTTTATTTCTAAGTTTTTAAATGATTTTTTTTTAATTAAGATTTTAAATGATGCTGACCTTTTTCTTTGTGCATCACTGTGTTGTTTCACTATTTGACTATGGATGAGGGCTACCATGAGGATAAGAAAATATGAAGTTATTTGTATTTTAAAAAGGAAAGTTTAGCCTGTTCTGTAAGCCATAACCATAAGACATACATAACTTTATGAAGCGCCATCTTTCCCATCTACGAGTAAACCCAGTGGTGACAGTGATTTGACTTTGTGAATCTAAATAACTGACCTATCTTGGCAGCATTTAATGGTATCATGTAGGTTTCTATTTTCCTAACTTATGTCTGTGTTTACAATATTCAGAAGGTGCCCAAGCAGCACTTTCCTAGTAAATATTCTAGTAATAAAACATGGCGAATGATCTCTTTTGCTCTCTCTCTTCCTCTCCTTTAATGCTTCCTTCTAATACTTGGATTGGGTGTTAGAACCAGTCTTCTTAAACCAAGCCTAGACCTCTTGCAAATGGATAAGGCAGAACTAAGTAGTCAGTTTCTCTCTCTCTCTCTCTCTCTCTCTCTAACATTCTCTCTCCTTTCTCTCCCTTTCATTATGCATCTCGTTTTCAGGTTGGCTCTCTCTAAAAAAAAAAAAACATCAGTAATGTTTGTGCTGTGTATCTTTGGCCTGCCTGCCTGCCTTTCTATCCTTTTGTTTGGCTGACCACAACGCTGGAAAACCTAGACAATGTTATTAGACTAAAATAGAGTTTATTTATTTTTCCCAGAAGAACAATTACAAATGATAACTTATGCCTCTAAAGAATAAGTCTGAAGATTATATATATTCTTTTCTACCTACAGCTGAATTCTTGCTGCCAGGATGGGGAAACAGAACAGCAAGCTGCGCCCAGAGGTCATGCAGGACTTGCTGGAAAGCACAGACTTTACAGAGCATGAGATCCAGGAATGGTATAAAGGCTTCTTGAGAGACTGCCCCAGTGGACATTTGTCAATGGAAGAGTTTAAGAAAATTTACGGGAACTTTTTCCCTTATGGGGATGCTTCCAAATTTGCAGAGCACGTCTTCCGCACCTTCGATGCCAATGGAGATGGGACAATAGACTTTAGAGAATTCATCATAGCCCTGAGTGTGACATCGAGGGGCAAGCTGGAGCAGAAGCTGAAATGGGCCTTCAGCATGTATGACCTGGATGGAAATGGCTACATCAGCAAGGCAGAAATGCTAGAGATTGTGCAGGTACGTAGCCCTAGCCCTTCCCAAAGAGAACATAAGTCACAAGTAATTAAGAATTGGAAGGTGAACAGTATAGCTTAGTGCAGAGGTTGCAGACTGGTGGCCCACCTGGGCACTGATTTGGCCTACCCAGTGTTCTTGAAAATGTTGAACCCACATTACAAAACAGGGCTATTGCACATAAAAATGCCGGTTGGTTGGCATCTCTTAAAAATTCAGACCTGACAACATTGGGCCCCCATTCTAACGTGGCATGTCACCTGGGGCTTTGCGGTGACTCCCATTGGACAGATGGACTTGCAGTCTTCAGTTGGTCATGCTCAGTTGGTCATGCTCACTATGGTCATTCCATCCACTCACTGCACTGACCTTCCTTTGAGGTTATAGCTCCTGGAGTGGTATTGAACTGTCAAATTCTGACCTGGGTTCAAACGTTGCCTCTTTCAGTCATTACCTCTGTGACTTTGACCAAGTTAGTTCACCTAAGTGAGCCTCACTCTCCGCATCTATAAAATTGAACTGCCAACAGAGCCCATCCATGTTGTGGGTTATTTTAAGATTAGGTGTGACTGTCTATGAGCAATCCTTAGCACAGTACCAGCCATTAGAATAGCTCATTATCATCATCATTATCATTAATTTACAACTTTATCAGACTCTTGAATAAAGGGAGAGGTTTCTGGGCTAGGTTCTGTCTCATCTCATCGGAGATACAAACATTGTAGAATTGAGGCCTCCATCATTTCAGTAGGAGGCACTCCACTTTATTTCCCTAAATCACTCGCCCAGAGTAAGTTTCCCGAACAGAACAGGAGAAGGGGCCCACGTATTGGCCACATTTTCCTTGTGACACCCCAGGGAAAAGTGCGAAGGGAACATAAGGGGCTACAGTCATGGCAGTGGCAATGTGATCAGCAGTGAGTGGGACCCAGAGACAAACCTGAAAGACTGAGAAACGACTCAGGAGAGGTCAGGAGAGCCTCAGCTGCAGGTAATCAGAAGGACTAGGTGGATGGGAGGCACCAGGGAGAGTGGGCTGTCACTCACCGTCTTGGCAGGTAAGCACCTGGCAGCAAAGAGCAGGTCCGAGAGAGTGGGCATTTGGTTTGCTGGAGGGCTCATCACAGAGGCCAGCACTCATGCCAGGACGCCTGGGTTCAGAGGCAGAGCTGCAGCCCCTGGAGCACTGGGGGGAGGGGTGGGGCCTCCAGGAGGGTGGGAGGTGGGTGTAACTCTCAGGGAGGCAGAAAGGACTCAGCTTCTGGTGCGAATGAGGGCGGAGGTATAGGGCATTCGCTTTCGAGGAACCAAGAAGACCTGGTTACAGAAACTAAGGTCAGAGACCAAAAGACACTCACAAGACTGACTTGTTATTGAGCCTGTGGCTGAGGCCTGGGGTCTGCACCTGGGCCAGTGGGACTGAACGCACAGGGGCAGTTAGAGTGACAACTGAGCACAGCGCAGGGACTCAGGAGCAGGGGTCCACGTGACCTCCCTGTATTAGGAAACTCTAAAACCTGCCAACCAGTTCTCCTTTCTGCTTGGGCGACCCGTGGGTGGGTGGCTTTTCCTTCACCCCAGCGGTAACTATCTGATTAAATTGTGTTAAATTAATCCCTCGAGACAGGAATCTTGAACCAAAATAAAGGATTTCTCCCTTTCCCGAAGGACAAATGTATGAAACATATAATGCCTACTAAAAAATGTGGGCAGTATAGAAAAATATAAAGGAAAAAGAAAAATTCTCCGTAATACCACTCCACCCACAAAGAGAATCACAGCTAATAATTTTCTAATATATCTTCCTGGTCCTATTTCCATGCATTTAAAAATATCGATTTCATTAATGTATATGAAATTGTGTAACTTGCCATTTTCACTTAACGTAATAACACAAGCATCTCCCATGTTATAAAAACTTTTAATAAAGGCATTTTAATGGCTGCATAATAGTCATACACTATACTTTACTTAATTTCCCCTTATTGTTGGATAATTAGGTTCTTTCCACTTTTCATTATTATACATAATATTGTGATTTTTAAAAACAAAATGGCAAACAAATAATCCTTGTGCATGAAGCTTTTTCTATATTTAGAATATTCCCTTAGACTAAACTCCCAGAAGATCAATTACTAGGCTGAACGAGCTGAGCGTTTATTTCTATGGCTCTTAATAAACTCTGCCAAACTGTTTTCCCAGATGTACTCCTGAAGCAAGAAAAGGGTGCCCCATATCATTGCACTTTTCCAATTTGTCTTAATCTTTGCTAATTAAACAAGAGTTTAAATTTAAAACGTGAGTCATTTTAATAGCTTTGTTTTGTCTCCCCTTTTTTATCTGGGAGTGCAGTGCTCCGCCCCCGTGTACTCTGCCTCTCCGCAGTGAGAGGGGCGAGTACATTCTCCTTTTGGAGAGAATTGCTTCCTGACTGGGATCTAAGAAGAATAATTCCTGTCAGCCACTGTATTATCTCCTGTTTAGCATTTTCTCACAATCCTCCCAGCTGCCCCTACTCAGTGGTTTGGTGGCTAGTATTGATGAAGATGTTGACCCCCAGGCACGGAGGACCCTGCAGACCACGTGGGCTTATAAGAAATCAAACGAAAGGGCCGGCTGAGTGGCTCAGTTGGTTAAGAGCTCGCTCAAGAGTTTGAGCTCTGAGCAACAGCGGTTCGAGTCAGCCCGAGCTGAGCAGCCGTGAGCTGCCAACAGGTGGCGGGATGGCTCAGCTAAAAAAAAAAAAAAAAGAAAGAAATCAAACGATTCCCACATTCATTCTGCACTTAGGGTGAAGCACCTACAAAGTACCCTGCACTGGGAGCCAAGATAGGGAGCAAATGGCCTCTCACCATGTGCTATGGAATCCAATTTGCAAGGGACAGTGGGAACATTGCAGTGAATGCGCAGAAGGTTCTAGTACACACTTGCTGAACCCTTGCTGACTTCCTCCATGTTCAATATGGAATGTAAAAAGTGATCATAAAATTGAAGGAACGTTCAGCCTAACACGGCATTTTCTTCTCTGTAAAGTATCTTGGTCCACTCACAGGCCAATAGTCAGTTTCCAGGTCATAACTGGAAGGACACCGATTCCTTAATAAACGCTTATATACCGGGAGTGCCAAAAAATGTATACAAGTGGGCACTTTGGTCAGCGTTGCTCAAGCTGTAGTTTGCCGCAATCAGAAGTGTCTGGATGCTGATGGTAACCACTTTGAGCACCTCTTGTAATTGCAGAAGTCAAATGTGACTTGTATTCATCTTTTTGTTATTGGTATATACTGAGTATTACAATTTTAATACAGTTTTTTTACTTTCTTAAAATGTGTATACATTTTTTAGCACCCTCTGTATACTCAGGGTTTTTAAGAAGCCTGCAAATGGAAAACTTAAATTTCCTAATTGTTTTCTACCATACAGCATCCTGATGATTAATATTCTTGATGGAAGAGAGGAAATATTGCAGTATCCTGAGGTGACTTCCAAATCACCAATGAAGTTAAATTAAATTTAGAACCATTTTCCTATTAAGGGCTATGCTATTGTATTCTGTTACTTTGCAAATTGAGAATTCATGTATTCTGCCTCATTCTTATGTTAATCCCCAGTTTACAGTGATTCTAGATGATCTGGAATTTGCTGAAGGATAATATAATACCGAACTTTCCATTCTATATTTTATCCTCCCCCCACCCCCTTTTGAAAGCCCACACTCTAGACCTTGTCACTGTCCCAAGAAGCTATCTATGTGCCTTTGTAGGGATTCTCTTTTGTTTCTAGCTGGTCCACACTATTTAGGAGCACCTACATTTGCAGATGCTACATTTACGAGCACTTCAGAGGAGTCACTGTCCCTTAGGTTTCTGCTTTGTGCCTGGGTAAATATCTCTTAGAAATGATGAAAAGGAGGCAGGCTGTGGGCCAGCAGAATCATACACAAATTCAGGATCTATTTCTTCAAGTGACTAAAACTTGCAGCTCTATTACAAGTGTCAATATATAAATTCTTGGCTGAACTTCTGTCACTCTAAGACTCAGCAGTTCAAATGATTTATTAAATGCAAATTCAAAATGTTCTGCTACAAATAATAATAATTGGTCAAGGAATTGGTGTCCAAACACGTTTATAATTGACTTGACAATGAATGGAGTGTAGGACTCCATACTTTTCTAGTTTTTCTTCCCTGATGTTGCTTCCTGTAGTTCAGCTTTGGTATCCCCAGAATATTGTTTATGGTAACAAGCTGGAATACTTCCTAATATTGGTAGGAAGGACTCTAATGTGGACTCTGTAATACAGAAATACACTGTATTAGTTTCCACTTGCTGCTATAACAAATGACCATAAAATTAGTTGCTTATAGCAACACAAAGTTATTTATCTTACAGTTCTCCAGGTCAGAGGTCTGAAATCAGTTTCAGTGGGCTAAAATCAAGGTGTCCACAAGTTGTATTTTTTCTGGAGGTTTTAGGGGAAAGTCTGTTTCTTTGCTTTTTCTATTTTCTGAAATATTCCTTGGTTTGTGGCCCTTGTCATCCATCTTCAAAGCCAGCAGCAGAGGATTGGTTGAGTCATTCTCACACTGCCATTCCTCTGGGCATCTCTTCTGCTTCTCTCTTCCACCCATAAAGACCCTTGTCTTACACTGGGACCACCCAGATAATCCAGAATAATCTCCCCCTCTTAAGATTCTTAACTTAATCATATCTGCAAAGTCTCTTTTACTATGTAAGTATATTCACAGGTTCCAGGGATTATGACGTATATGTTTTGGGGGGGCCATTATTCATTCTACCACATATGCCAAAATGCAGTTATAGTCCTCATTAAAAAAACAATCTTGTGTTATATTATTGGGTTGCCAGAAAAGTCATGACACATTTTTGCTACGAGAAATGTAGAAAAAATACGTCATGACTTTTCTGACAACCCATTAGCATCTAGATGAACAAGCAAAACCATATGCAGATTTATTTTCAGAGTCTTAAATGACCATTTT